TTACAGGCGTGAGCCACCAGTGCCCGGCCACTTCCATTTTTTTTAAATTGTTGATCATAATGGGCCTGAGCCTTGTCCTTGAGCTTTTATGCTCAAAGCTAGATAGACCTCTACCACTTTGAGTCACCCTGCCACTCCTGGGTTTCTGGTGGTTATTTGGAGATAAGTGTCTCATGGATTATTTTCCTGCCCAGGCTGGCTTTGAACCTGGATCCTTATCGATTGCAGCCTCCTGAGTAGCTGGGATTACAGGCATGAGTCACTGACACCTGGCCCAGCTGGACACTTCTGAGTTCTGACTCAGTGAGTGCTCTGAACACACAGGTACTTAACTAGGTTCAGCCAGGACATAGTTGGTGTGAGATTCATGGTGAGTCCGGCTAACTTGGTTATGGAAGGGCCCCGGGGCAGCTCAGGACTTTCCTCACCTCTACATCTCCAGAGAACTAAAGATGGACCTCAATTCTGATCAGCTGTTCTAGGGGGTAGTTCATTTTGGGTACTGAAGGTTCTAGGAGCCTGAAGATCTCTCCCCTCTACCTAGTGCCCTACGCAGCTTCCTCCATTTTAGGGAACAGCGGACATTTCCTGTAGGTGGGCCAAGGATGAGATAAAAGGCCTGGGCCTGCTCCTATACACTAAGAATGAATGAATGATTGATGGATGGTTTGTGCTATCCCTGGGGCTTGAACTCAGGGCTTAGGCACTGTCCCTGAGCTGCTTTTGCTAAAGGCTGGAACTCTACCACTTGAATCACTTGTTCCACTTGTGGCTTTTCAGTGGTTCATTGGAGATAAAAGTCATCTGGATTTTCCTGCCCAGGCTGGCTTTGAATTGGGATCCTCACATCTCAGCCTCCTGAGTAGCTAGGATGACAGACACGAATCATTGGTGCCTGTTTGCCTAGGATAAATCTAGAATTGAGGACTTTTTTCATTTTCTCCTTCCTTCCATTCCTTTCACTTTGTGTGTGTGTGTGTGTGTGTGTGTCCGTTGTAGGGCTTAAACTCTGAGCCTGGGCGCTGTCCCTCAGCTCTTCAGCTCAAGGCAAGCACTCTACCACTTGAGCCACAGCACCACTTCCAGCTTTTTCTGTTTATGTGGTGCTGAGGAATCGAACCCAGGGCCTCATTCATGCAAGGCAAGCACTCTATCACTGAGCCACCTTCCCAGCCCCTCAGTCTTTTTGTGTTTTTTTTCCCCCTTTATTTTTTGGTTGGTCATGGGGCTTGAACTCAGGGCCTAGGCTCTGTCCCTGAGCTTTTTTTTTTTTTTGCTAGTGCTCTACTACTTTGAGCCACAGTGCCACTTCCAATTTTTTCTGGTGGTTCATTGGAGATAAAGTCTCATGAACTTTCCTGCCCCAACTGGCTTTGAACCCCAATCCTCAGATCTCAGCCTCCTGAGTAGCTAGGATGACAGGTGTGAGCCACCAGTGCCCCAGCCTACGTTTGTTTTTACCCTATTATTCTGGGGGGGGGGGGTCTGGGACTTAAACTCAGGGCCCTGTCCTTGTCCCTTAGCTTTATCCCTCAGGGCAAATGCTCTGTCACTTAAGCCATAGCTCCACTTCTGGCTTTCTGGTGGTTCATTGGCACATCCAATGTCCTCCATCAAGGGGCTCCAGCTGTGTTACCCAGGCTGGGACTTGAACTCAGGGCCTGGGCACTGTCCCTGAGCTGCTTTTGCTCAAGGCTACTGCTCTGTCACTTGAGCCATAGCACCACTTCCAGCTTTTTCTGTAGATGGTACTGAGGAATTGAACTCAGGGCTTCATGCATGCTAGGCAAGCACTTACTGCTAAGCCACGTTCCTAGCACCCAGTCTTGAAGTGAGGAAAGTAATCAGCAGAGCCCTAGGCTTGATGTCCTTTGGATGATCTCTTCTCTAGCTGCTAGAAAGGGACTGATGTGAGCCAGGCGCTGGTGGCTCACGCCTGTCCTCCTAGCTACTCAGGAGGCTGATATCTGAGGATCACAGTTCAAAGCCAGCTTGGGTAGGAAAGTCTGTGAGACGTTAACTCAAGGGAAGCACCAGAAAACTGGAAGTGGCACTGTGGCTCAAAGTAGTAGAGTGCTCGCCTGGAGCAAAAGAACTCAGGGACAGCGCCCAGGCCCTGAGTTCAAGCCCCACAACCTACTGGGGGGGGGGGGGAGGAATGAGAGAGAGACAGAGAGCATGAGAGATTGAGGTGCAAGACTCGCTTGACCAAGAGGTCATTGGAGCAACGCTTGGATGTGAAACAGGCTTGCGCAGAAGCCCACTTCTCCTTCCTCCCCGGGAGGGGCTGAGCGTACAATCAGTGGCAATCGTTCAGGTGTTTACCCTCCACCATATCCTGTCCAAGCCCTCCAGGGTTGCACAGCATCTGAAACCAAGATTTCTCCCAGGCCTCATGGCCAGTACACAGAGAATCTAGCACTCAAATTTGCCTTGTGGACTTTTAGACCTGTCATTACCTTAACCCATCTTTTCTTTTTTTTGTCGGTTGTGGGGCTTGAACTTGGGGCCTGGGCGCTGCCCCTGAGCTCTTCAAGCTCAAGGTGAGCTCCATACCACTTGAGTCACAGCGCCACTTCTGGTTTGCTGGTGGTTCATTGGACATAAGAGTCTCATGGACTTTTCTGCACAGGTTAACTTCGAACTGTGATCCTCAGATTTCAGCCTCCTGAGTAGCTAGGATAACAGGCATGAGCCACCAGCATCTGTCTTCTTCTTCCTCCTCCTTTCTTCTTTCTTTTCCTTCTTTTTGTTTATGTGGTACCAAGGAATTGAACCCAAGGCCTCATGCATGCTAACCAAGCACTCTACCACTAAGCCAGCCCCCCCCTTTTTTTTTGCCAGGCCTGGGGTTTGAACTCAGGACCTGGGCTCTGTCCCTAAGCCTCTCTGTAAACAAGATTAGTGCTCTACCACTTGAGCCACAGTGCCACTTCTGCTTTTTCTGATTCACTGAGGAATCAAACCCAGGGTTTCATGCATGCTAGGCAAGCACTCTTTAACATGCTGATCCTGGGGAGCTGTGAAGGTGGCTCAGTGGTTCAGTGCTTGCCTTCCAAACAGGAGGCCCTGGGTTCGATTCCTCAGCACCGCATAAGCAGAAAAAGCTGGAAGTGGCGCTGTGGCTCAAGTGGTAGAAAACTCACTTTGAGCTGAAGAGCTGAAGGTCAGTGTCCAGGCCCAGAGTTCAGGCCCCACGACCGCAAAAACATAAAAAATGCTGGGGCTTGAACTCATGGCCTGGGTGCTGTTCCTAAGTGTTTGTGCTCAATGCTAGTGATCTAACACAAGCCATAGCTCCACTTCTGGCTTTTTTGGTGGTTAGAGATAAGAGATTCCCAGATTTTCCTGCTTGGGCTGCCTTGAACCTCAACCCTCAGATCTCAGCCTCCTGAGTCTCTAGGATTACAGTGAGCCACTGGTACTTGGTTTTTAACTGGGTTCTTGCTCTTCCTTTTAACCCACCTGTGTTAGCCTACTTAGTGTCTTATCTAGAACTCTGGGCAAAGTTGTTTTGAGATCCTAAGTCATTTTGAGAGAGGGGCAGGAAGTGGCTATGTTTATAGCAGCCTGGCAGTTAGGAATTTGTGGGAAAGGCCTAATACCAGCCAGAGGGTGCGTGGGATCCTGTGGGCGGGTTTGAAGCAACTCCTGGGCAGTGATGTGAAGGGTGGACTGTGGTGGACTGGGAGGAGCCTAGAACTTAAGGAATGTGAAGTCTGGAGGTAGTGATGGAATTTCACCTAGGAGGAAAGGTGTCAGGCTGCCTGCAGGTGGCGCTCAAGATCAGTAAGGATTGTCCTCGGAGGAAAAGGGAGCAGGTAGGTGGTTATTATTATTATTATTTGTTTCCTTTTCTTTCTTTGTGCCAATCTTGGGGCTTGGCGCTTCTTTTGTTCAAGGCTAGTGCTCTACCACTCACGCCACAGCGCCACTTCTGGCTACTTCTGTGGATGTGGTACTGAGGAATGGAACCCAGGGCTTCAGGCATGCTTGGCAAGCACTCTACCACTAAGCCACCTTCCCAGCCCAAGTCGGTGAGACTCATCTCCGATAATTTACTCAGAAAAAGACAGAAGTGGCGCTGTGGCTCAAGTAGTAGAGTGCTAGCCTTGAGCAAAGGAAAACTCAGGGACAGAGCCCAGGGCCTGAGTTCAAGCCCCAGGACTGGCAAAAACAAATAACAACAAAAAAGAATCTCATGGACTTTCCTGCTGGGGACATTTTTTGTGTATGTTCGTGTGCCAGTCCTTGGGTTTGAACTCAGGGCCCTGGCGGTGTCCCTTAGTTTTTTGTTTTTCTGTTGGTCATGGGGCTTGAACTGTGGGCCTAGATGCTGTCCCTGAGCTCTTCAGCTCAAGGAGAGTGCTCAACCACTTGAGCCACAGTGCCAGTTTTTTGGTGGTTTATTGGAGATCAGAGTCTCATAGACTTTTCTGCCTGGGCTGGCTCTGAGCCACCATCCTCAGATCTTAGCCTCCTGAATAGCTAGGATTACAGGTGTTGAGCCACAGGTGCCTGGCCTTCCTGAGCTTCTTTTGCCCAAGGAAGGCTAGCACTCCACCACTGGAGCCACTTCTGGCTCTTTCGATGTATGTGGTACTAAGGAATCGAACCCAGGGCTTCGTGCATGCTAGGCAAGCACTCTATCACCAAGCCACCTTCCCAGCTACCCCATCAAATATTAAACTGACTGTCCACTGAAGGTCTGGAAGTATCTGGAACCAAGAGATTTTGCAGTGCATACTAGATCCACACCCAGATCCCCAAGGGGTAGAAGGATACAAGATGGAGGAGGCCTTGTGTGTCTTTCTGTCTTGGGGGGGATCCTCTTGAGCAATCCCTGCTCCCACCACCTCTAGAGGAGTCGAGGCCAGCCATCCCAGGAAGCTGGAGCAATCATTTCTTCAAGTCTCTCATGAGGCAACCCCAGGGGCTGAGGTAAACCTCAGCTGGCTGGTGGCCAAGGCTGGAGATGGCCTTGAAAGGCCATTGAGTGAGCTTTTGCATCCGGCTCAGGCTGGGCATAAAGGAGGCTGCTGTAGGCCCTCGGGGGGGGGCATTCGTGAGAACCATGCATGCTCAGAGCGAAGGCCTCTTCCTGGGGCAGTGGGCATTGGTGCTGCTCTTGCTTATGCCTCCAGCCTTTGCTCAGAGCCTCAGCTACCAGGATGCTGTGCTCCGGGCTGTGGACAGCTTCAACCAGAGGTCACTGGATACCAATGCCTACCGCCTTCTGGCCCTGGACTCCCAGCCCCAAGGGGTGAGCGGCTCATGCCAACCTTAGCCATACCTGGCCGCAGTGTGTGCCTGCCCAGATCGTCTTTCCTTCCTTTCTTCCTTCTTTCTTTCTTTTGCCAGTCCTGGGGCTTGAACTCAGGGCCTGGGCGCTATCCCTGAGCTGCTTTTGCTCAAGGAGAGCGCTCTACCACTTGAGCCACAGCACCACTTCCGGTTTTCGGGTGGTTTATTGAAGAGTCTCATGGACTTTTCTGCCTGGGCTGGCTTTGAACCACGATCCTCAGATCTCAGCCTCCTGAGTAGCTAGGATGACAGGGGTAAGTTACTGGCACCCAGCTGCTGCTGCTTTCCTCCTCCTCCTCCTCTTTTTCTTCTTCCTCCTCCTTCTTTTCCTCTTACCTCCTCCTCCTTTTTTGGAGGTTGTCTTTCAAACAGTTTTCCTAGGAGCTGGGTCCCCTCCTTGACAGCTTTCAGCCTTAGACTCTGCACACACATATACACACAAAGTGACAGAGTGCACACACAGCGTGTAAGGATGGTGGGACCTCCAGGAACAATTCTGGGGATCAGTGCTTTGGACTTACTTTGCTCTGACTCTATACCCCCGTATGCCTTTATAAGGGAAGGGCTCTTCCCAGCCTTTAAGTTTCATTGGTGTATCTTTTCCCCCAGGCAGCCCCCAATTTCTCTGTCCCCCTTTTCCAGAGGGGGAGGTGATCCTCATTAGAGGGTGGAGAAGGCCCAATACCTGGCACATAGATGTCGAAAGGCTGTGTGTGTGTGTGTGTGTGTGTGTGGTGTGTGTGTGTGTGTGGTGTGTGTGTGCCAGTTCTGGGCTTGAACTCAGAACCTGGGTGCTGTCCTAAAGCCTCTTCTTGCTCAAGGTTAGCGGTCTACCACTTGATCCACAGCGCCTGTCATCCTAGCTACTCAGGAGGCTGAGATCTGAAGATCATAGTTCGAAGCCAGTTCGGGCAGGAAAATCCATGAGACTCTTATCTCCAATGAACCACCAGAAAACCAGAAGTGGTGCTGTGGCTCAAGTGGTAGAGTGCTCGCTGTGAGCTGAAGAGCTGAGGGACAGCGCCCAGGCCCAGAGTTCAAGCCCCACGACCACCACTACCACCACCAAAAAGAATCTCATAGACTTTGCTGCCCTGCCTGGCTTTGAACTGCTGGTCCTCAAATCTCAGCCTCCTGAGTAGCTGGGATGACAGGGGTGAGCCGCCAGGCCAAAAGGCTGTTTTCTTGTTGAGATCAGAGAAACTGATCACAGAAAAGTTAGAAGGGACCTGAACTGGAGCTCCCCATTCGTTCCCCTTGATCAGGAGGAAGACCCAGATAGCCCAAAGCCTGTGAGCTTTACCATGAAGGAGACAGTGTGTCCCAAGAGATCAAGGCAGGCCCTGGAGCAGTGTGACTTCAAGGAGAATGGGGTAAGGCTGGAGAGGGCTGCGGGGAGGGAGTGGAAGGGGGGACATTTCCATCTACTGGGGTGTGGTGTGTGTGTGTGGGGGGAAGAGTTATATCAAGGGAATCCCACTCTGACCTTGAAAGTTCCCTTTCCAGCTGGTGAGGTGGTGTGTGGGGACTGTCACTATGGACCAGGGCAGTGACTCTGACCTCGACTGTAATTTGATGGTGAGCAGGGGTCCGGATGCAGGGGGTGGGGCATAGATCATCTTATGGACCAATCAGGTCCTTCCCAACCCAAGACTGAGAGAGAGAGAGAGGGGAGAGGAGAGGGGAGAAGAGGGGAGAAGGGAGGGGAAAGGGGGGGAAGAGGGGAGGGAAGAGGGGAGCCTTCCCCATACCTGAGCTCCCCCTCCCTCAGTCTGAACTCTATCTGCAGTGCTGAGTCTAATAAAAGCGGTGGCTCTCCAAGTTTGGCCTTAACTTGGAACTTGTAAGATACATAGACTCTCTTGAGTCCACAGACTTACTGATTAACACTGGGACCTAGCAAGGTTTTCTTTTTGTTGTTGTTGTTTGGTCCTGAGGGTATATATATATATATATATATATATATATATTGTGATCAAGGCTAGCACTCTACCACTTTGAGCTACAGCACCACTTCCAGTTTTCTGGTAAAGTTTCACAGATTTTCCTGCCTGGGCTGGCTTCAAACCATGATCCTCAAATCTCAGCCTCCTGAGTAGCTGGGATTATAGGCGTGAGCTACTGGTGCGTGGCATACAGTGTGTTTTTTTTTTTTTGGGTCCAGTCGTGGGGCCTGAACTCTGGGCCTGGGTGCTGTCCCTCAGCTCTTCAGCTCAAGGCTAGCACTCTACCACTTGAACCACAGCACCACTTCCGGCTTTTTTGTTTTTGCTTATGTGGTGCTGAGGAATCGAACCCAGAGTCTCATGCATGCAAGGCAAGCGCTCTACCACTGAGCCACCTTCCCAGCCCCAACAGTGTGCATTTTAATAAACCTTTTTGGAGATTCTGACTTCTGCTGAAGGCTGAGAGCACTGACTTTTTTGTTGGTCCTGGGGCTTGAACTCTGGGCCTGGGCGCTGTCCCTCAGCTCTTCAGCTCAAGGCGAGTGCTCTACCACTTGAGCCACAGCACCACTTCTGGTTCTCTGAGTGGTTTAATGGAGATGAGAGTCTCAAAGACTTTCCTGCTCAGGCTGGCTTTGAACTGAGATCGTCAGATCTCAACCTCCTGAGTAGCTAGGATGACAGGTATGAGCCACCCGCACCCAGCATTAAATGCTTTTTTTTGGTCAGTCGTGGGGCTTGAACTCTGGGCCAGGGCGTTCTCCCTGAGCTCTTCAGCTCAAGGTGAGCACTCTACCACTTGAGCCACAGCGCTCGGGACAGCACTGACTTAAGAGTAGCCAAGAGGCTGGAAATGTAGCTTAGTTGTACAGTGCTTGCTTAGCAGGGATGAAGTCCTGGGTTCAATTCCTCAGTACCACATACACAGAAAAAGCCACGAGGGGCGCCATGATTCAAGCGGTAGGGCACCTGGCCTTGAGCGAAACAAGCTCAGGGACAGTGCCCAGGCTCTGAGTTCAAGCCCCAGGACTGGCAAAAAAAAAAAAAAAAAATCAGTGAGTTCTCAGGAAGCTAGGGAACTCCTTGTCCATCATAGGCCTCAGTTTTAGCATTTTTAAATTGGGAATATAGCTTTAACCATGCACCCCAGCCAGGGGTTGACCTGGGGTGTCACACCTCCTAGTGTAACTAGAAGAAGAGGTTTAGCTGGGGAGAGATCTTGAATTGATCCTGAATCTAGCCCTACCAAGTGCCTATTTCTTCCTGGTATACAGCCTCAACCTGTCCACAAATTCTCCAGGCTGGGTAAATTTCTCCGAAAAGGTGGGAAGAAGATTGGTAAAAAGCTTGAGAAACTTGGCCAGAAAATCAAGGATTTTTTTCACAAGTTTGCACCCAAGGGAGAGCCTCCGGAGCCTTAGGGTATACGCAGCCTGACTCTGAAAAATAAATATTGTGAAAGTAATGGCTCCAGATCTCTGTCTTGCTTATCTTTTTTTTGTTGTTGTTGTTGGTTGTGGGGCTTGAACTCTGGGCCTGGGTGTTGTCCCTGCGCTCTTCAGCTCAAGGTGAGCACTCTACCACTTGAGCTACAGCGCCACATCTGGTTTTCTAGTGGTTTACTGGAGAGCAGAGTCTCACGGACTTTTCTGCCAGGGCTGACTTGGAACCATGATCCTCAGATCTCAGCCTCCTGAGTAGCTAGGATGACAAGCGTGAGCCACAGGTGCCCGGCTGTCTCATTCATCTTTGCTTCCCTTCTTTCTCACAGCGATGGAATCTTTATTTACTTTTTTGTCAGTCATGGGGCTTGAATTCTGGGCCTGGGGTGCTGTCCCCGAGCTTTGTTGCTAAAAGCAAGCTCTCTACCACTTTATCAACCGTTCCACTTCCAGTTTCTTTGGTGATTAATTGGAGATGAGTCTCACACACTTGCCTGCTGGATCTGGCTTTGAACCACCATCTGCAGATCTCAGCCTAAGTAGTTAGGATTATAGAAGTGTGCATGAACTCTGGGGCCTGGCCGCTCTCCCTGAGCTCTTCAGTTCAAAGCTATAGTTTTAGCACTTGAGCCACAGCAACACTTCTGGCTTTTTCTGTGTATGTGGTGCTGAGGAACTGAGTCCAGGGCTTCAGCATGCTAGGCAAGCACTCTACCACTGAGCCACCTTCCCAACCCTCCCCCGACCTTTCTGTTTTCCGCCATGAGTTGAACCACCAGGAAATCTTCACAGGAAGCCAAACAGGCAGATATTGGTACTATGCTTTTAAATCTGATTTTAAGAAATATGAACCATGGGCTGGGAAGGTGGCTCAGTGGTAGAGTGCTTGCCTTGCATGCCTGAGGCCCTGGGTTTGATTCCTTAGCACCACATAAGCA